ACATACAGACAACCTCTCGTCAATATGCGTTTTTCGTATTGCATTGCTGCAAAAAACGCATAAAAACGCACATTGTCGAGAGACTGTCCGTGTGTGTATGTATATATGTACATATATGCAGGTTTGGAAATGAACGAACTTTGTCAACCACTTTCAACTTAGCAACCAGGAAAGCTGGAAGGCTAAAATTTCGGGAGCATATTCCCACCCTATGAGTGCGTACGGTTACGTCAAAGTTCGCACTTGGCACTGTGCTAACTCGAAAACTAGTCGGAAAACAGTAACTGAAATTCCGTCATAATATTAATTGTCCATGTGGAAAATTGTGCATTTAAATTGATTTCTGATTTCTGATTTGCGCTTGCGCCACGACTTAGGCACTTCAATGATATTTGTAGCGGAGTAGCTATTTCGCTTATCGGTTATGTTGCGAGGCTGAAATGTCGCTGGGATATTCTATCTTTCATGTGCGGTCTTAATTCAGTTTTTGGAGGTGAAATTCTCTACAGGTGAGTATGAGAAATACTCAGTTTTATCGCAGATTCAAAAGCGAATGCGTTTTCCAGATTTCATAATCCTCTTTCGACTTTCTTCAAATTTGCACTTTTTTTAATGAATGAACATTTATCGGAAAAACAGCCAGGTTTCCTGTAAAACCTGATAATTACGTACGCTGGAAGTCCATGCGGCTCTTATAATACAACACCTTCATCCCAGCCGGCGCTCTTTCCTTCTGCATGCGGAAAAAGGTCGAAACACAGCCAATATGAGTTCAGGTGTTAAACTACAGCATAGGAACCATTTCTGCTGCTAGCGATCTGCAAGTTTAACGCAAAAACATATGATTGCACCAGCAAGTCTGGTGCTTTCCAGCCTGGGTTGTATTTTGCAGAAATTTGCAAAAAAATCATAAAAACGTATTCTGTCGAAAGGCTGCAGGTGTGTGCTTGCGCATACATTAGGATTTTTGTCACCCACATTTAATTCAAGAATCACAGAAGTTAGGGAGCTGAAATTTCACAAAGCAGTTTATAGTCCACATTCCGTCCAAACAGCTTAAAAATAATGCTCACGCAGAGCTGGTTCTAAAGTATAGGCGCTTCACGCGAATTTTTTTGGTAGGATTGCAGTTTGGGAAGCCAGGATCTGAAATCTCGCGGGGGTGATTTATGTCCTTTGTAGCTGAAAAGATCATGGCTGAAAAAATTTCAATTTGGAAACTAAATCAATTAAAGCGCCCCCACTTTACGAAAATCTGTCTTCCGTGCGTGAACAAGTGGACGGAAATTAAGCTTTGGAGCGCATTTGTGGCGCTTCTGGATACGCCAAAGATATTTGTAACGAAGAGCGATTTCGCCAACTGGTTAATCTAGAAGCTGAAATTTTAAGAGAATATTCTTTGTCCACGTGCAACCGAAATTTTTCAAATTCAGCTTTAAAGCACGTCTGGATGCAAAGAGTCCCTCTTGAAAATGGAATCGTGCAAAAAGGCGTGATCCCACCAGTAAGTCTGGTGCGTCGCTATCTGGGTTGCATTTCATGCATGTATAACTTTATAACCTTTACTAGGTTTTCTTTTTCTATCCAGGTAGTAATGGCACATACTGCCCAAGCATAGATAAGCAAAATGTAACATGTTTTCTCGGCATGTTTGGAGATACCAGGGCTTTTGCTTTGCTCGACCTTCGATATTACTTAACACTCCTTTCACTAAAACGCTAAAGAGCCTGGTTTGGAGTTTGTAAGAAAAATTTGGCTTTTCATTTCTTAATAATTTGTTATTCATGCTGAACTGATTATGTGTTTTTGTTTATATGCAGGCGCAAAAACGCATATTGTGACGACCCCGGTGTGTGTGTATTCGTTTGTCCGGGTATTTCAACTCGGCAACCAAGCAATCTTCGACGCCAAAATTTTGTTAGTGGGTTCCCCAGCCAATTGCCACCCCAGGGCTGCGGCTCCGATCCTCGCGGAAGTCTGAGCCCCACGTGCTAGAGAGTTGAAGTTTTGGCGAAAAAATCGCTAACTCGGGAACCAGAAAAGCTAGAAAGCCGAAATTTTAAGGTTATGTCCCCCGTCCACATAGAACTCAAAAATTCCAAATTCAGCCCCCAGTTGTACATGGTTCCCACCTGGGGACTGAATTATTTTTACCGGCGGGGAAATCGCTAACCCGGGGACTAGGAAAGCTGGGAGGCTCAAATTTTAAGGGGATGTTCTCAGCCCATGTACACCTTAAAATTGTCAATTTCTGCCTCTAGGCATGTGTGGTTCTCGCGCACGACCCCGTGAAATTTTTTGGCGGGAAAATGGCTAACACGGGAACCAGGAAAGCTGGAAGGCTGGAATTTTAAACGGATATTCCCAGCCTACGCACAACTTAAAGGTTTCAAGCTCAGCCCCTAGGTCCCGTGAAAGTTTTGGCCGGAAGACTGCTAACAAGGGAACCATAAAAAGTTGAAATTTAACGGGATCATCCCTGTCTAAGTACAGGTAGTTACACAATTAACTTCCCGAACTTCGAAAACCAGTATGTCACAAATTTTAGCTATTGGGTGTCCGAGCGATTTTACTACAGCACGAAATACTGCAAAAACGCGTTATCGTACGGGCCCGCCTAGTGCACGTCGTCAATGATTTTAGAATATTCGCCATAGAGAGAAATGTTTTTCTTGTGCTACCAGAAAGCGCAAGTCTCAAAAATTATGAAAGTGTGTTGGCTAAAGCGAAAATGAATTAGATTTAATTCAGCACACTGCATGAGATGTATCTTATGGAATGCACATGTGTTTCATTCAATTCGTTGCTGCAGAAAACCTGCAAAACAAAAATTCTGTAATACTGGCAAGGCAGAACAAAAAGAGAGGAGGGCACTGGATAAAGGTGCCTCCCAGAATCTGGTCACATGAGAGAATGAAATGAAATACAGGAATGGCAGGCATTAGCTGTTAGTTTTAGGGCAGTGGCAATGGCGAATTGCTGCAATCACTGACCCCTACCCTAAAACAGTTTGGAAGACAAGGATGGGATGGGAGAGGGAGGGGGAAGGAGAGTATCTCGCAATTTGATGCATTACAGGGCAGCGCATGGAAATGTTCGGCATGTTGAAAAATAGTAGTAGGTCAGTGTCCCAGTAGCCTGAAAGCATTTAAGAGATGATAGCGGGTCCTTTTGCTGTTGCACGCTGCTACAAATAACAAATTATTGGACTTGGGAATTTCGCTCACCAGAGCAAACAAGCGTAATGTAAAGCATACAAGCATTCATCCAAATCACTTTTGAGCCTTCATTCCACTGCTGGCAAGCTGCTGTTTGTGTTCGTCCGTTTCGTTGGGCCCTTCACGGGATGTGAAGGCTGCCGGTGAGCGATTCAGCGTGAGTCGCGTTGGTGTCAAAAACCGTCGAACAGTAATGTTAACAGAATTTTCCACAGGTTTCTCGGAATGCGATGCTGGTAACAGCATTCTACCGTAAAAGTGATTTCGCTTCTTCAAGTCGCTGAGCAGTTCGGTTGTCGCATTTCTGCTTTTAAAAATGGAAGTTGGCAAAATTTTTCCGAATAATTTAGGAAATCTGGAGAATCTGTTAATCTTGTAAGCTCTTCTGCCTGTCGTCATGGTTAATTTTTGCGTATGGTTCGTAGCTTGCTGAACTGCAGCGCCTCTTGAAGTTTTTGGTATAGCTAGTCGACTGTTTCCAAAAACTGGCAGCAAATTTTGATCAGTAACAGGAAGTTTTGTTACTGCGACTGCAGCTAAATCACCATGATGTATGTTTGAACCTTCTGATAACGTACTGGATATGTCTGGTGTGAGCTGAATTTTCTGAACAGAAAGAGGCGCCAACGGTGATGCTGACGGTGTCTGCATGCTATCATCTTTTGCATTCCTTACTGCAAATGACGGCGTTTTTTGTAATCCTTTCAGAATTATCGGTGATGGGGCTAAAATTTGGTTTGTGTTAAGGACAACTGGTGCGGAAAATAAGGGGCCGGGTGCTGACGATGCTACTACGCCTGGAAATGAGCCTGAACTTACAAGTTGACCTGGTGATATTGGACTGAATGCAGATACGGTACGTTCTTCCACAGTGCCGTTCGGATGTGACAGGGCAGGCGATGGGAACAATGGAGCGAAAGAAAGCGGTATTTCTCCCGCTGGCATAGGGGGTGACGGTGCTGGTGACATCGGCGTTACAGTCCATGTCATAGGATCCCAAAGCAGTTTATTTTGTTTTTCCGCGAATTTCATGGCACCTTCCATAACAGCTTGTGGATCAGTTATGTCTACTTCGTCTTTGACATTGTCACCGCACCAGCTAGAATGGCCAGTGGCATCACCCGACAGATAACAATTATAAAACTGCCTTTGGCCACTTGTTCCACTGAATATGGCCATCACCAAAACAACGCCTTTATTCATTCTTTATGCGGATAACCTGGAAAAAATTGCAACTGTAGTCAAGTTTGCAAGTAACATTCGCTAAATTCGCGTAAATACTGAAGTTGATGATTCACAAACAGGAATTTGGACGCTTGTACGTAGTTGCTGATTAACATTAGCTCACAAGATGGCAAAAAAGACAATAGTCCTCCACAGTTATAACGAACAGTGTAGAATGAAACTGAATACAGCGATGCACACCACGGGGCTCAGCGCTTTTATGCTTTTTTGCGGGAAACTGCTACGAGTACAGAGTGGGCAAATGCGGCAAAACGTATGCAACTGAATTCATTTTGTTGTA